GAATGGAAAGCGATGGGAAAAGAACAACAGCAGCAACAATACACGTTTTCTCACTGGCTCGCCAAGTGCAAGTTGACCAAAATGAAAGGCCAAAAGGGCAAAAACAGAGTGCCTCCGCTCGAACATACCATACCCCGGACCCGGACCCGGACCCCGGAATACACCATGCTAGCTATTCTGGGGGCACCGGCCACACCACTCGTACTCTCATTCCTTTGGGGAAACGACGGGACGCAGGCACTTCAATGTCTGCCATTCGTCGTCGTCAGAGTCGGTGGATCCATGGCTTGGACAATGACGAAAAACACAGAGAACAGGACACAAAAGTACGAGTAACAACTTAATTTTTGGCCTGCTGCTCTTCAAACATCAGGGAGGCTTGGATACTCTTTAGAGCAGCATTTCATTGAAATACATGAAAATGTGGGACTATTCCGACTCCATCATTCAGAGAGTAGGATTGACACGTCTGGAGGGGTAAAAAAAATAGTCTTACATACACAAATTCAAAATTTAGGGAGATTCCATTCCATAAAGCGTTTGGAGGTGAAGAAAAATGGTAGGGAACTAAAGAAATTCCCGAATAGCTCCTAATAAATAAATATATTATAAAACGATTATATTTAAGGCGGAGAACTGAAAGAACTATGCAGATCACTGGCCTGTAGCACGTTGAACATGTGATAATTAGCTGGAATTGACAGAGAGGGCGTATCCCCTTTGAAGCGCCGCTCAAGCTATCATCAGGTGTCCCTTTGTTGGCCATGGCCAGCCCATGCCAATCCCGTCTCTATTCCGTCCCCACTTAAGCCGCATAATGCCAATTTATAAACCCCTTTTTACGTCCTCGTGGCCCCGGAAAGCAGCGGAGCTGGCCAAAGGGAAAGAGCATTAAATAACAGAAAGTTCGTGGCCCCGATTCAGCGCCCTTTCTGTAGGCCACTTTTATTTATGTATGGTATTTTTCTTTTTCGTTATTTTTTCCCCTTTCCTAAACGTCCGACGCCTGGCAGGAGGGTCGGTAGTTACGGTGGGGTCATAGTTCACAGCTGTTCATTCGTAGCGCCTTTTTCTACCACTTGATTCGCGTTCCGTCTATTCCGTTCGGTTCCTTTCCTGTAGCTGTGCCGGTCCGTCTCCGCTTCCGTTGCCGCTTTTGTCTCCCTTTTTGGGTGTTATTTTGTTTCTTTCGTTTCTCCCGCTTTGCCATGGGTACTACGATATTGACCAGATTCTTACTACGCAGAATAAGAAGACAAACTCTGAAAATGTTCGAAAAGTGAACAAAAAAATATATATCCGTTCCTATACTTGTAGCTCCCATAAGGATTACTTCTTTGCAGTTTTATGGAAATGCAGCTGGAAAATTGGATGGTTTTGCTTTGTTTTGTTTTAATTAAAAGTGGTGACCGCCAAGCGCTCCTCGTGGTATCCACACTACCGATCCAGTCCGCCTATGGCAATATGAGAGTTTTCAGCGAAAACCTTTTCTCCACTCCTGCTGGCAGCCGTGCCCCTCCTTGGGGCAATCAAGATTCGCAGCAAGAGAAAGCAGGCCAGAGCCGAGTCAAGTGGAATGAAACAAAAAGTTGTTCGTCCTCCCGGCTGGCGGCTGTCTTCTTTTTCGGCCACATCAAAGGCAACGCCAGACACCCACCCCCACGGCCCACTATTAGTGGTCGCATTTTGTTGTTTATGCTGCATTCCATTCCACCCTCCCTCCAGATCCCTCCCCGGAAACTCCATCATCCGCTTAGCCGTCCCTTTGCGGTTTGTCATCTCTTCAAATCAGCGGCAAGGTGGGCAAGGAGGGGGAGTGCGACTCAGTGCTGATATTTATCCCCACGTCGGAAGTATCACAAACCACCGCGAAAACATTTGACTCTAAATAAAGTACTTATGAAGGAAACCGCACAACAGAGCCGCCAGACTTGGATCACTACATCATAGAGCAGACTCTCGAATTCCTTGCCTTTCGCATCTTTCGTTAGTGGGAAGCAGAGCCATAAAGTAAGACCAGAAAAATAGCCTTGATCGACTTCATTATAATCAAAAATATGTACGTACCTATATTAGAATCCTCAGATCAAGACTCCAGCATAGCCAGATTCGAGCAGCTTTTTTTGATGAATATAGAAAAATGTGTGAAATTTGTGACTAGGAATCGCACATTTCCAAACAAAGGGAGTTTTACAAAAGCTAATAATTAATTAGAAAAGTGTAATGCATCGTGAGCATCTTTCTCTTCCGCAGCGTCACCCATAAACATGGATGCAGGGATTCTTCCGGGAACACATCCGGTAGACCAAGCAATAGTAGATTGGACTCGGCGGACGCGCCTTCGCCAAACTACACACAATCGGGAATCATTTCCTCATCTTCTTCTCCTTTGCTATTAGTACGATGGAATGATCCAGAGGGAATGATGTTCGGGGGCGAGTTCTCACATTGGACCAGTTGGAAGAACTTAGTGAAGTGTTTCTTCTACAACTTAATCGCCAGAAAGTTGTTTTGTAGCCCGACAACAATCATATCGGGCCAGTGATGGCGTACAGTCCTGCCGTGGAGTCCTCCTCATGGACGAGCAGCAGATACTGGCAACTGGCGATGGTCGCCCAGACTGAAGAATGAAGTGTGGCCTTCAGGACGAACAGGTCCCGCTGCACCGCCTCGGGATCCAAGTTATTTAAGCCTTGATTCATGAAACAGATGCTTGCCCGAGAATTGTTGTCTGCACAGAGGAGCAACTCAAAGTCAGGGCTGTGGAGCACCCTATGGTAGGAAGTCAGAAGGCCGCCCAGTCCATATCCCAGAGGACTATGTGGTGGGTGCCAACTGCCGCACTCACCAGGTGCGTTTCATTCTTGTTCCAGCTCAAGGACGTCACGCATTTGTGTCCCAGGACACTCAGCAGACTCATTTTGCTGTTATTTTCCCAAATGCATAACCCTGCAGCACATCCCACGGCAAGCGTACCGGAGCTGCCGGGGCGCAAGGCAGCACACGTGATGTGCACTTGCGCGTTGTCCTGCAGCTCGAGAGGCATCCTCGGGTCAAGAGCAGGACAGTGGCGTCGAGGGTGATAGGGTGATCAGCGCCCCGTTCATAAGGCCGGTCGGCAACGGGTGGTAGACGACGAAACGGTAGTGCTGCGACTTTCAGATAGTCGTTTGGTACAACACACGCAAGTCGAAATGGAATGCATATCTTGAAAATCTCGCTATAAACATTTGGCATGATAGCTCTGCGGATTTCCGGGGGTCCCGAAATAATTCCGTTAATATCGATTCAACTACAGATCCAATTACGGCTCTAGTAGTATATCTGCAACCAAGGCGACGCACCAAAGCAGATTAAACTGGAAAATCTGGAGGAGGTGGTTCGGAAAATCCTTGAAGTCCAGAAGTAACAGCAGATATTAAAGAATGAGCACCAGGAAACAAAGCGAGAGGTACTCCAGCAAATTACGAACAGCCAAGGCCAAACCAACTTCCAAACAGAGCTGCTGCACATTTTAAGGGAGTCCAAAGAGTACCGTTTATGGCTTTTTTATCTACATATACATAATTACATTAAAAACATTTAATTAATCTGGCCAACATGTTGCAATTCCATGAGTCTGCAACATGGCGAACACAGATATGCAATCGATCGCAACCTGAGTCTCTCTATCGCACATGAGCTTTCTTTTGAAGTTGCTCTTTCAGCTCAAGCGCTCTCTTATAGAGCACACACCGATTAGAGATCCCAAATGAGAGCTCACTGATGGAAGATCTAAGGGGCTATCAGCTCTTAATAAAGAGAAGAATGCGATATTCTCTTGAGGGACCGAGGTGCTTCTCCAGCGTGCGTGATCGCTGGGGCTCTTGCTTGTGTTGGTTCCAGCTGGGCGTATACCTTTCCGCGGGCGACAGGGACAGTTAGATGTTGGGCCGCTGCCAGCTTTCTTCGGGCCGGGTAAGCTCAGGAAAGAATTTGAAGAAAAATCGCATTGGGGCACATTGAATATCTGAAGGGCAGAGTCCCCGAACCAAGCGTCTCCCCGTACGCATATGCGCTTCAACGAGAAAAAGAGTCTGAAATGAAGGAAAGTCCGCAAGAGTCAGCATATTTGCAGGGTCGCTTAACCGATAAGAGTAAGAGTATGAGTAAGAAAATTGTGAACTAAAAGTGTGGGTTTTAGTATTTGAGTAGTGCTGATAATTTATTGTTTCTGCAACCCCTTATTGAGTTTCGTTGAGTTTCGGTTCATTGGAAGACCAATTCAGGGGAGAGTTTGGGGGGCCGTGTACGTAAACAGAGATGCAGCAGACATGTAATCTCAACAGCGACTCGAATTCCCAAAACGAAGTAAACACAAAAATAAACGGAAACAAGAAATCGGACAGAAAGGCGATCTTAGGGATCGGGGCTATGGATGGGTGCATATGAGCACCCGAAGGTGTCTGGGAGTGCAGTCCACAGCAACGGAGAGGCGAAAGGAATTTAGATGAACGGACAGAACATAATGCTCGATACGGGTGCCACTGCAAACTGCATGCCTTCTCTGGGTTGCTGCTGCAGCGCAGATAAAAAGACAGGAGGATTCAGAAGACGCGGGCGAAGGTGTACGAAGATTCTGAATCTATCCTTGCTTCGGACATAGACCAGGACCCGGGAGCAGAGAAACAGGTTCGTAAAAAGGAGAGGAGATCGAACACTTGGGCTCGGGACCAAGGGAAGGAACACATTGATTCAAACGGGGACGATGACGAGGTCGAACCAGGCCAAAATCAATGATCATCCGTGCTGCAACCAAATTAACTGGAAGTCAGTGGTGGCCAAGATGTATCCGGCGCCATGATTATCGCCAATTATCCAAGCCAAATATATCAATGAGCTCTCGAGGCGTTGGAATGACGCCAGCAGACCTTTCAGGCGCCCGGTCGTCAGGTGCCTCAGCCGGGCTCCAGCCAGGCGTCCGAACGTGTGTGACATTTTGAAATCCGAATGGATGCGCAATGGACGCAAACACCGATAAGATTGTGCTGATCCGTGCTCCACATTTGAGCAACAAGTTTGAGGCTTCCACAGTCAAGTTTGAGCGAAGCACTGAGTCCGACCTGACCACCTTCATCAAGGAGAATTAGTAAGTGATCTCTTTTCTATATCGTCTCCCCAAGCACACTCTTAATTTACGTTCGTTCAATCTCTGCAGCCATGGCTTGGTTGGTCATCGTACCCAGGACACTTCGCGGGACTTCCAGAACCCCCTGATCACCGCCTACTACAGCGTCGACTACCAAAAGAATCCCAAGGGCACCAACTACTGGCGCAACCGTGTCCTGAAGGTGGCCAAGGAATTTGCCGGCCAAATTAGCTTTGCCATCAGCTCCGAGGACGACTTCCAGCACGAATTGAACGAATACGGCTACGATTTTGTTGGTGACAAGCCCACCGTTTTGGCCCGTGATGCCAAGAATCTCAAGTACTCTCTGAAGGATGAGTTCTCCGTGGAGAACCTACAAGATTTGGAGCCATATGTCAAGAGCGAGCCCGTCCCAGAGTCGAACGATACTCCGGTCAAGGTGGTTGTAGCTAAGAACTTTGACGATCTGGTGATCAACAACGGCAAGGACACGCTCATTGAGTTCTACGCCCCATGGTGCGGCCACTGCAAGAAGCTGACTCCCATCTACGAGGAGCTGGCCGAGAAACTGCAAGACGACGATGTGGTCATTGTCAAAATGGATGCCACGGCCAACGATGTGCCACCAGAGTTCAATGTGCGTGGATTCCCCACACTCTTCTGGCTCCCCAAGGACTCGAAGAATAAGCCCGTAAGCTACAACGGGGGTCGCGAGGTCGATGACTTCATCAAATACATTGCCAACGAGGCGACCACAGAACTGAAGAGCTTCGACCGTGACGGAAGGCCCAAGATGACCGAGCTCTAAGCTCCAGGCTCTAATCTTAACTCTTACTGCTAGCTGCGTCGTTAATGTGGTGTAGTGGCGGTGTAACTAGCATTTCCATATTTTTGTAAAAGTCGAATGCATTCTCTTCAAATTCTTGAAGGGACAAAATGATGATACCGCAGATGAACACAAATCCAACCCCATGAAGATGTCCCAATAAACTTAAAACTTAATTTATCTACTCAATAATGAAAAATTATTTTCTTTAATTCTTATGAAGTGTTGTGGGGGTTAGGTCCTCCATGCGCTCGTCCAACATTATGGGAAACCAATCGGGAATGAAGGTGAACGGGTTCCTGCCAAGATACGATGTGTACGAGATCTCCCCCTGGCTAGCATCAAACTTCATCAGATACACGGTCTTGGGGCAGTCGACTACCGACATAAAGCTGCGAATCTGGTCCACCAGCCTCACCAGGAAATTGACACAGACCTGCGGTGACCACACTTTTTCCTGCGCAAACAAATTAAAGTGTTATTTCAATCGGGGTATATTGTATATATGTACTAACGCAGTCCTTCCAAAGTTGGCGCACAGATATCTTGTTAATGGTGTGCGCGATGATGTGGCGGTTAACATTAGCAATGTAAATGTTTTCGATGCCCACCAGAAAGCACTTGGACCACCACTTGAGGGCGTCGCAACGGTTGTGCGTAGCCCATTCATCCACGCTCATACTGTCTGGGCGAAACTGCAGCTCCGTAAAGACATAATTTGAACTAGCATGCGAATAAGAGCAAATTTAAACCGATTTTAAATGTACATTCAAGGCCCCGTACTTACTTCCTGACACTTCCTATCCTAAAACCTTCGGCCAGAACTGGTGAATCGAAAATAAAACGTGTGCCATTTATGCTGAAGGAAAACACTCCGTTGTATTGTCCAGTCGGTTCCATTGGGTCGCATGGTTTCAGCATTGCATTTGCATTCTCTGGAAAAAAATAAATACTAAATAGTAATATTGGATGGTTAATATTGGATGGCCCTACCGGATAGGAAGTGCCTACGAAGCTTTGCGAGCCAATCAGCATTCAGTTCCTTCATGGGAGAAGTTTTTAGATCCTCAGGAACCACGGGGCTGATGTAAATCGTGTTTCGATACTTAGTCACGGCGAGGGTCCAGTTCACCATCATTTCGTAGGGAGTCCTCATGATTAGTTCGAGAACTTCGGTGGTGCACACAATGTCGTAACTGACTTCCACCTTCAGTTTGGCGCTTAGATGGGATGTCCCAGTGCTCTCCATGTACAATAGTATGTTGTCCAGGCCTGGCCGCGACAAGAGTAAGCTTCGCGGAGGACTCGGCTCAGAGTCCCCCAGGTGCACTTGGAATTTGTTCATTTCTGGAACGACTACGTAGCGCAATCGATTTTCGTTGTTCTCAAATTTTCCATCTGGCGATAAGCTGAAGCCCCCGTGAGCCACTGGCCTAGAAAATTCTGGAAAGTCACATCGGTCCGCTTGGGTAATAACGTGAGGTTTTATATTTAATAATATTTCATCAGAAATCATCATGGATTCATCTGAAAACGCAAGATTTAATTTTCCTACAATTGGTTTTACCGATGCTTAACAAAAAAACGTGGCAGCGTTAAATACTATGCGCATACTTGCAAACATATTAATGTTTCTTCCAATATACAACTTTCGTTAATCGTTCAAGGTTGCAATGTGTTGTGTAAACAGGCTTTTAACTTTTACAAATCACACTGGTTCAGCAATTATTTTCGAGGCTCTACTGGGCTTCCCACTTCCACTCACAACAATTTGGCGCAACGCCGGCTCTGGGGATGCCAAACGTAAACAAAACCGAAAGGTTGCCAGACTGCCGCACACAGCTGTTCGCATTGAACTGTGTGGCAACCATTGCAAGGTGCGCTGCACGTGTTTCAAATTCGCGTGTGTTGCCCGGGTAATTCCCCGGTCTGAGCTCTGAAATTAATTCGAAAGCAGTTAAAAGTATCACGAAAGAAATATGCAACTGTATCCGAATACAGTTGACCGACTACCAAGGCAATGGAGGTATATGCCAGCAAGCTACGATTTTATGCACAGCGACTTCTGCAGTTGACTGCCAACGAGCCCCAAGACAATTTGTTTGTTCAAAATGTACAGAAGTTCATCAGAAAGAAGGTAAGTGTATGATCATATTTTAATAAAAAACACACTTTACTTTACAAACCTTTGCTCCACGTTAGAAATATATGCCTCAAGACGTGGAACGTCTGTTCTGCAGTCTCAGCGAGCAACTTGCGTGTCCGGCCTACACCGTTCCCTTGTGAGCTTTGAGGAGCAGATGTTGCTGCTCCTTAGCATGGCCCTGCGATGGGAATCGCCTGGAGACGATATCCATCAATATCATAAGGAGTGCATCGCCCTGTCAAAGCTAATGGACTTCTCTGTGGATGCGCAGAGGTGAGTAGAGGTCCCTGTATCGGATGGCCAGTCTCAAAAGCACACATTCCCCCCGACATCCGTATAGGTTTGCAAAGAGCTACTTCCACAACAAGCCAGCACCGTTCGAGAAAAGCCAAAGTAATTCCAGCAGTGTCCCCAGCAAAAGGGAAAGAACGCAAAGGCCAGCCAAAAGTTAGATGAAAGCTCTTGAAATGTTGCTACCAGTTGCTGCGAAGTGACACGTCCTACTTCCGTGAGTTGTGGGACTGGTCCGGCACCTACTCGCACCTCGAGACCCCCTGCCCGATGATACAACTCTACTGCAACTACATCATGGCCATGCTCACGAATATGAGCCCAACACAGCTGAATGCCCAAAATGCCAAGATATCCACAGAAGCACAGCTCCGATTTGAACGCGAGAAGGAACAGTCATGGGCCGTAGCCAGGCAGGCCGAGGGCTGCTGCTATTCTCCCGAAGACGAAACGCCTGAACAGATGCTGAGCCTGAGCCCCAACCAGAGTGTGACCAACATTGAGGGCGTACTCTTGCCGACATTCAACAAGAAGAATCAGGAATTCTATGCCAGCACTGACGGCTGTTGCGATCGCATTGTAAAAGTGGATTCGACGGTTGTAAATCTGCGGAGCATTGCCCTCGGCCTCGCAGCGGCCAAGCCGATTTGCCTCTCGCCTTTCGTTTGGCTTCCTGGTGTCCTCACGCAGGTGAGAAGGAATTGATTAAACTGAACGTGGGTTCTATTATATGAATGATTATTTGCACTTTTAGGCTGTCATGCATGGCTACTGGCTGTTGCTGGAGGATCTGGATGCCGCCACCCAAGACACCTACACAATTCTGAGCAGTTTGCTGGAGAGGCAGTGCCTGAGCGTTCCCGGCTTTCGCGACTCTGTGAAGATTGAGCCGGGCTTCCAATTGCTGGTGACAGTGCGGTAAGAGTCCATGGAGCATTCGAGGCATCTTTATCCTAAACATTTTCTCTGTTTCAGGACCAACAAATCGGCCAGCAATTCGGGTTAGATATCGCTCTATTCGCTGCTGGATAAATATCTGAATACGATCAACGTTCTGCCTCTCTCTCGCAACGAGCTGTGCTGGGTGGTCAGCACAAACTATCCCAAGCTGGCGGCCGTCGCCAATCGAGTGGTGGACGTGTTCCTTACCTTCTCCAGTGGCAATCACATGGCCGCCGACAATCTGCGTCAGCGGGAATCGAGCGACAAGGCGGACAACAAGGAGAAGTACGTGGCGCTGCCTTTTGAGCAGGTCACACTCTCATCCAGTCCCAACTCGGGCCGCCTGGTCTCGACCCGGGATCTGATCAAGCTGTGCCAGCGTTCGAATGCCCAGTTCTCGGTGACCAGCGCCGAGTGTGCCTACTTTGTGTTCCAGAATGCCGTCGATGTATTCTGTTCGTATCTGCCGCAGAGCAGGGAGAAGATCACGCTGATCACGAGCATCGGCGCCAAGTTGGGCATCACTCGCTCCAGATGCATTCGAGCATTTCGCCAATGAATACAATCCGGATGTGGATTTTGGACTGGAGATTATCAAGATCGGACGTGCCAGTCTTCTGGCCAAGTCCGAGCTGCTGTCCAATAATGAGAATGGGGAGCCCAGGATGCCCAGGGGGTCCCGAAATAATTCCGTTAATATCGATTCAACTACAGATCCAATTACGGCTCTAGTAGTATATCTGCAACCAAGGCGACGCACCAAAGCAGATTAAACTGGAAAATCTGGAGGAGGTGGTTCGGAAAATCCTTGAAGTCCAGAAGTAACAGCAGATATTAAAGAATGAGCACCAGGAAACAAAGCGAGAGGTACTCCAGCAAATTACGAACAGCCAAGGCCAAACCAACTTCCAAACAGAGCTGCTGCACATTTTAAGGGAGTCCAAAGAGTACCGTTTATGGCTTTTTTATCTACATATACATAATTACATTAAAAACATTTAATTAATCTGGCCAACATGTTGCAATTCCATGAGTCTGCAACATGGCGAACACAGATATGCAATCGATCGCAACCTGAGTCTCTCTATCGCACATGAGCTTTCTTTTGAAGTTGCTCTTTCAGCTCAAGCGCTCTCTTATAGAGCACACACCGATTAGAGATCCCAAATGAGAGCTCACTGATGGAAGATCTAAGGGGCTATCAGCTCTTAATAAAGAGAAGAATGCGATATTCTCTTGAGGGACCGAGGTGCTTCTCCAGCGTGCGTGATCGCTGGGGCTCTTGCTTGTGTTGGTTCCAGCTGGGCGTATACCTTTCCGCGGGCGACAGGGACAGTTAGATGTTGGGCCGCTGCCAGCTTTCTTCGGGCCGGGTAAGCTCAGGAAAGAATTTGAAGAAAAATCGCATTGGGGCACATTGAATATCTGAAGGGCAGAGTCCCCGAACCAAGCGTCTCCCCGTACGCATATGCGCTTCAACGAGAAAAAGAGTCTGAAATGAAGGAAAGTCCGCAAGAGTCAGCATATTTGCAGGGTCGCTTAACCGATAAGAGTAAGAGTATGAGTAAGAAAATTGTGAACTAAAAGTGTGGGTTTTAGTATTTGAGTAGTGCTGATAATTTATTGTTTCTGCAACCCCTTATTGAGTTTCGTTGAGTTTCGGTTCATTGGAAGACCAATTCAGGGGAGAGTTTGGGGGGCCGTGTACGTAAACAGAGATGC